CCTTTCCTGGAGCTCACTTGGTAGCCCAGGCTGGCCTCGAACTCACAGAGATCCGCCTGGCTCTGCCTCCCGAGTGCTGGGATTAAAGGCGTGCTCCACCACCGCCCGGCCATGGGATTCTCTTATAACTTACGTTATGTTAGTGTTAATATTTCCAAGTGTTTGGCTTATCTGGAGATTTTCAAGCTAGAACTTGAAATTTCCCTAAAGGAAAGTTCCTTGTGTTACTGAGCATTACAGTGCTATTTGATTAACAGTCGACTGACCCCATTGTAGGGCTTATGCCTAGAACTAGCCTACTGGCATACACGGAGGCCTATATGTTTACAAGTGAAAACTGGCCTGCAATAGAAATAGACAAGCTGAAAAATAAAATTAATTTCAAGTTGAGCTGCTGCCATATAAATAGCCTAGTCTATTTGCAAATGGTTTCTGTATAGCTTAATTTTTTTTTATTTTTAAGATTATAATATGATCATATCATTTCTTCTTCCTTTTTCTCCCTCTAACCCTCTCATATAACCCTCCTTGCTCCCTTTCAAATCTATGGCTTTTTCCCATCAATGGCTGTTACATGCATGTAGGTGTATGTGTATACAGATCTATTCCTCACCATAACCTCCTCAGTCTGTATGTTACTTGTATGCATGTTCTCAGGCTGACCGTTTGGTATTGGATAACCAGTTGGTCTAGTCTAATTCTCCCACTCTCAGCATTCCCTAGTTACTTAGAGTTTCTTGTGTAGGGTTGAAGCCTGTGCTCTTTCCCCAGTCCACAGTGTCATGCCTGTCGAGCTTAGGTTTTCAAGTGACTTCAGGTAGGCTCCGGGAAATTCTTCCGGAAGGAAACCTGAGATACTAAGTTCTGTTCATCGTCACACTCAAAGGTTCATGACATTGACTGAGCAATCCCGTCTCTTCACAGAATAGCCCGGAATCTTTTAAAATTTGTACAGCCTTAAGAGAAGAAGCCCTAATTAAGGGGGATGTCGTCTCCAGGAGAGCGTGCTGTTTTGCAGTGGCATTAGCTCTGAATCAGGTAAGGCCTTGGGGCAGAGGAGACATGAGTGAATTGGGAGTGGGTAGGACATTACTGGTTCCGCTGTTCCTGTTTTTCATTTATTTTTTCCCTCCGAACTATGTTGTTAAGAAACCCCACAGTGAAAGCAATGCCTTTGTGCCACAGCAATTTGCAGCTAAGTCTGCGCCTGCAAAGACCGTTTTCACAGGTAGCTGAAGACCCAGCCTGCATTTCTGTGTGGAGTAGGGAGGCCAAGATCTTGTGGAGAGTCAAAGTAGGAAGCTGCGGTCTGAGAGAAATATCCTTGTTATAGGAAAGATGGCACGTGCATCCTGTGTAGCATTCTCAGAGAGCATCTTAGATTAGTGAGGACTCCTGGGTCAGTCCTTGCAAGTTAGACCCATCTACTATTATTTATTGAAGCCTTACCATTCCCTTCCTTCCTCATCCCCTTATTGACAAATGAAGTCAACCAAGCCAAGAAAAACAGGCATTGAGGTTGATCTCAGCGAAGGACATAGTGCTGGAATACCTGCTGTCTTAAAGAGCCCCCACCTCCAAGATTCCCTCTAGGAAGGCCCAAAATATATGAAATACTTTACACATTGGCTATGTGGTAAATGAAAGTCTCATGATAGAAAATTCTAATCAAGATAGGTTATTACCCAACTAGCAAAACAGGGCTGAGGAGCTCTTCCTTAAACTAATTAGACTAGGTACTTAGAACTGAGGGTGATCTTTTCCTTAGTGCTGAGGAAGGCACTCCCACCAGGCACCAACTGCGCATGATCACCTCTGGCTTACCTGCTTTCCTGTCTGCCCAGGAAGGTGTTTCGTGTCTTCCTCCTCTGCCAGGGGCTGAGTGACACGGATGAAGTCTCGTCTGAGACGCACGTCCCCAGTCTTTTTGTAGCTCTTGTGGTTTTGCTCTTATGAAATACAAGTCACGCCATCAGGACTCAGATAAGCCCTCCTGTCATCTTTGTGACTCTCTGTTGAGTCTTGTGCAGGACTCTCCTTGATTGAGTGATCACTAGCATGACCTCAGCCTTGTCCAATAGCATCACTGCCTTTGTTCTGTTGTCTGTTCATGTTTATCACTTTTGCATTGTGTACTAATCCCTTTTTAGTTGTTTTATTTGAAGTCTTTCTGAATTGCTTTGGTTTAGGTGTATCTCTTCTATGTTGCAGAACCTCAACTTGCCTTTATTATGTGACACTAGTCTTTATCTGTTCATATGACATGAATGCTCTTAGTGTTAGCATTCAGACCCACCCCTTGGCACCTGGATAATATGCAGGCAATACCTTGGCCTGCTCAGAGTCCTGACAGCTGTGGGAGTCCGCCAGAGTCCAGCTCTGACCTGCTCCCACCTTTTGAAGGGTCCTTGGGTGGAGGAGAGAGGAATGAGGAAATACTAGGTAGAAAAACAATAAGAAAGACAGAGACACAGGATAGCTTCGGGAGGGCCTTGGGTCAATACCCAGACACCCAGAGCTTTATTCAAAAGGACTTTTTATAATATGCCAAGGGGAGAGGCAAAAGACCACCTTGCAGTGTCAAAGCACACCTGTACAGCCAAGTGTAGACCCTTCCAAACACCTGGTAACCACGCCCATTGCCAAATCATCCCATTATGCAGCCCTGCTGGGTAAAGCAAGCCCAGAGTCTCTGACTGTGAGTTCTCACTAGGAAGCCTCTGTGGGCCACCACAGACAACATCATGTGCTCATTGCTAATCAGTCTGTCTGCGCCAAGTCTCCTTATAAAAGGTGGTGCCCCGCCTTCCCTATCTCTTCTTTTTTTTTCTCTCCTTCTCTGAGCCCCCCACCCACCCTCTTTCTCTCTCTTTCCTTCTCTTTCTCTCTCTTCCCATGAGGCAGCTCTGCACTCCCTTTTCCTCTCCCTTCTCTCTTCCCCCTTCACCACTAATAAAACTCTCCACATGAGTGCGGCCTGCATGGTGTGTCTCTGTCTCTTACCCACCATGGGGCACCTTGCTCCAAACCCACCACGGTTTCTCTCCCACCATTTTACACTCTCAGGTGAGATTTTATTTGGTGCTTTGTATTCTTGCAACTTAAAATACGGCAATTTCTACTACTGCTGTGCTGGCTACTTTTAAAGTGAAGTTGGCCAATTTCTGAATGGAGCAGGATAGTGGCTTGTGCTGTTTATCTGAAAGGGGAGCACACTGTTTTCCTGCAGGTGGTTTGCTCTGTTTGTAGACACTGGGTGTCAGCCCGTGAGGCAAACCGAACAAAGAGTTGGGGGGCTTTCTCTTCTTGTGTCCCCTGTAATTCCTTATTAACTGCTCAGCCTCACTAACTCCGGAGTCCTGAGAAACTTTGTACTGGGGATTCATCTTTTATTGTGAACGTTGGAGAATCGGATGGAGGCTGCTCTGAATGGGACTTAGCCCAGCCTCAGCTAGCCAGGGTCCCTGTCCCAGTTCGTTCCTGTCCATGTGTCCTCTCTACTGGTTACTTCAAAACCATGTTGTTACTTAGTTCCCTCAGTCTGATTCCTTTGACAGGAGCTACTAATAGTGAAGTGAATGTGTTTTCTCTTTCTTGCTCCTTCTTCATCTCCATCATGGAATTGTAGTTGATCTGCCGCCTCTTGAATTGTTTGCTTTTCTCTTAAATATACCCAGTCTGTCAGCTTTAAGTAGGAAATAAAGGAGAGGAAATGGACCCTATATTTTGATTTTCTCGCACCCCTATTTTCCTTTTGTGCAGTATCATTCTCCCTCCCCAGGTGCATGGCCTTCACACTGCTCTGTGACCAAATTCTGCAGAGTTGTGGTCCTTGACGCTCGGTGGTCTCTCATCGTCGTCGCCACAGCTGCTGTTCTGGGTTCTCTCTTTTGCCTGTGATGGGCCTTCTGAGGAGTTCTCCCAACAAACACATTACCTGAGCTCTTGATGTTTAAGTTATTTATTTGTACTGATCCTCCTGGGGTAGCACTTGCTTTTCTTAAGGGTTTATTGTTTGTTTTTGAACTATGGCCTTTTGTTCTCCTCACTGCTGTGGAGAACTCTGCCTGACTTTATTTCTGAGGCTGATTGATGTGCTCTTCATCTTTCTTATTTTTATCCTCTGTATCCATGAACACATTTGTCATACTGCAGTTTCCTTTACTAATTATTTTCTCAGTTTTGTTTTATTGTGTCCCTTTCCTCTTATTTAAAAAAACAACAACAACAACAAAAAAAAACCCTCTGTTTACACAGTTCTTATACTGATTCTCTTTTGATTACTCATCCCTCAAAAATATAAATTTCTTTCCGAACACCATTGGCAGTAAATTCATGTCAGAGAGACAGAAACACCAAAACCCTCGTCTAGACGGGCAGGCTTTCCTTTGTGTAACAACTCCATATTGTAACCCGCAGTCCTGTATACACATGCCCACACTTGTTTCTCCCTGATCTCTGGCAACAGGATTTCGGGATGCAGCCTCTTCTCTGCTGCTACCAAAGAGACCCACTGCCTCCTGCAGATACAGCCTTGCCATGGACGTCCTCACCACTCACCTCCCCAGGGACCCCCAGTTTGCCCGTTACCCCAGCTCCAATCGCTGCAGGCCTACATTTAGGTCATGGGCTCTAGGTTGTGCTGGTGGGGAACCTCCTAGAACCTAGAATGTGGAGGCCCTTTCTGTACCGTGTAGGACCTCTGCCTGCTTCCTCCTCCGCCTTCTGGGCTCCCTCTCCAGGGATTCTGACAGTGTACCCGAGTCTTCTCTGGTTGAGGCTTCACTGATTATGCCAGTGATGAGTTTGCTTTCTGTCTCTCACTGTCATTTTCCTCAGAGCTGTTCCAGTAGGAGAAGGAAAAATGCCACCTTAATGCCTCCATCTTAAAAACTTAGACGCAGAGAGATTGCTAAAACATAGGGGACCGTGTCACTGGGTAAAGCCCTTATGTAATGCTCGTTTAATTTTGATTATTTAAAAAGTCCTATTGTTGATTTAAAACTCGGAGGCCCCGTGCATGGGAACATCCTGCTTTCTCTAAGTGTTATGTAGGAGGATGGAGTGGTGGCTGCGTGCTTTGGAGTATGACTTTTGTTTTTCCTTCCAGAACCAGGTGGAAAAAGCCATGTCCATTTTTTCTCAAATCATGAATCCAGAGAGTATAACCTGTACTAACTTGAATGTAAGTGATTTCCTTGTAGTTTCAAGTGAGTTGAAATGTGCTAAAATGCCTGCTGTTTTTGTCTGTGTGTGGTGATCTGATTGTCCAGCGTTGTCATTTAGTTAAAGAATAGTCACTTACCAAACTCCTCTCTGGGAAGAGCCACCCTGTGAGAGAAGTCATCCCCACAGAGCTTCTGGGAGATTGTGATGGTGGGGCAGTGGTCTGCTCAGGGGTACAGCAGGGTGCCCACTGCATGTTTGAGGCACAGGTGAGAAGGCTGTAGGTCTGAGGAAAGGGGGTGGTTGTATTAGCCAGACTTCCCTGGCCCTGGGTGAAGCCTGCATGCTAACTGCGTCCATCTGTGGTAGCTAACTTGTGATGTGCATGTGACTGGTAGGCCACTATACATGCTGTCTTAGTTAGGGTCTTTATTGCTGTGAAGAGACACCATGACCACGGCAACTCTCATACGGAAAACATTTCATTAAGGCTCCCTTACAGTTTCAGAGGTTCAGTCCATTGCCATGGCGGGGAGCATGGCTGACTACAGGCAGACATGATGCTGGACCTGAGAGTGCTACATCTTGCAGGCAACAGGAAGTCGACTGACTGTCACACTGAGGGAAGCTTGAGCAAAAGAGACCTCAAAGCCCGCCCCCACAGTGACACACTTCCTCCAACAAGGCCACACCTCCTAATAGTGCCTCGCCCTTTGGGGGCCATTTTCTTTCAAACCACCACACTTGCTGTGCAGTCAGTAGGCTCTGAGGAGACGGCATCTATTTGCATTCCAGTTATATTGTCGGTCTGCCAAGGGACATCTACCTGTTGGCTTATCTGGGCTTCTGTGCCGCCTCTGTGGGGCCTTGTT